TATATATATATATATAGTATATTTTAGCTCAACCAATAAAATGTAGAAAAAATGAGATACCCTAGGAGAAATGAATAGCTATACCAAAAAGCCATAGTTACTTTATGAAACAAAGTAAAATATAGTGTGATTTCAGGGAATTGAAATGTATGCACATTTGCAGAGAGTATAGAAAAAGTACATTTGTTTCATATTAAATCAACATTGGTCTCAAGTGGTCTGGGGTGTATTGGACGTGTAGAGAAGAAAGTGGCATCTTGGGCAGGAGGTTGTATTTTATTGGACACTAGTTACTCAGCTGCGATAGAGTAAATGCTCTTTATTGAGGCCCAAGACTGAACACATATAATATTTTTGTAACAAGTAGAACCAAAATGTTATTGGTGCTACCATTGGAAAAATAAAAAAAATACTTGACAGAATTTATGAGGTTAAAGTGAAAATGTGGGAGAAAATTTGAACTGTCCATATTTTCAGGGTAAGGAAGGACCGTCTTAAATCGGTGGATCAAGATGCATAGATAATACTACTTAAAGCACAAAAGTAAGTGATGATTGATTAAAATAATAAACAGTAAAATTAACAATACTGTGAGGCAACTAGACAAAGGTACTTCAAATTGTCTAATCCTTATTCCTACAATGCAGAGTTTGACAAATCAAGAAATATCACTATGTTATTTACAGTTATGAGTATGCTAACCAAATAAATTGCTATTAGAATTCCTAAAAATGCTTGCCTCTCAGTATCAGGATTGGAGAAGGTGTGGGATAAAATGAAATTATTTAATACTTTAAAAACCATATTTATATTAATTTAATTTAAAAAATAAGGAAACAAAAGTTAAAATGTGCTAAGCAAAAAAAAGATTTACAAGGAGAAATTATAGTGCTAAGGAAGCCAGTGGTTATTGTCAAATAGAACTCCCAAAATTTATAGAGAAAACAGATACAACACAAAAGAAAGAAAAACTTAAGAATACTATTCAACAAAGATGAGACTTTCTAAATTTGTACAGCCACAGATTACTCTGAATTG